TAAATATATACATATATTTACTTATATATAAAAATATATATATTTATAGGCTAAAAACATAATCTGCGAAGGGCAAACCTTGTGACATAGTCACTGATAGTCTCTCAAAGTGATTACATTTATTCTTGATTATTTTTAATTTTCATTAAATCATAATTAATATTTTACAGCTCCTGTCTTCTGAAATGATCTCTGCGTGTACCAGATCAGATAAATACATGCGCAGGAGGCTTTATACATCTATGTAGTTATGGTGCAAGTAATCATAGTAATTGTCCATGCAAGCAAATCTAGCATGGATTTGTGCACATACTGTTTAGAAAATTAGAGCTATGAAATCTATCAAGGGAAACATATAGCTGAAGTGATTTTTTTCATTAACAAATGGAAGGCCAAATTCTCTAGTTCAATGTGAGAAAGGATCAATGCCCAAAATGCCAACTGATGTAAAAATACTTATTCACTGGATCAGTCTTTCAGGGACTAGTTTAGTATTGACTAAACTCTATTTTTAAATTCAGTGATAAAATGCCCTGTAATGAATTCAGAAAATAGTAATTCTTTTAAAGAGTATCTTGTCAATGAAGTAAAAGACTATGCTCAGTATTTCCTATATACAAGAATATATATATATACACCTTGCTTTACTTGGTTAGTCAGGACAGGTTTTTATTCTGTATAAATTCTATCTTGTTTTATAACTTTTAATAAGAAAAGATACTAACAATAAAAATACAGGAATAAATGTTGGAAGTATTTGGGGAAAACATATTTCCTTTGGTTTAAAAAAAGTTTTCTTATACTTGGTAACCCCCAAAAAGGATATAGTTCTAAATAAAAGGAATGTACGTAGAAGCATTTGCTACTCTTTCTTAGGCAGGAATAGTCAGAAAACGGAATACTGGTCGCAGAATGTGAATGAGAACAGTGTAGAAGTAAAAGCATGTCATAATTGTTATTGAAGTCAAACAGAAAATGAAGTTCTCAATTGCATAATATAATTTTATATACGTATATGTTCTTTCATAACTATAGACGGGAAAACTTGAGCAATTAAACTACAATATTTTAGTCCTAAACTTAGCATTCTAGCTGGCCAATGCTAACAGTTTTGTATCATCTTTCTGAGGAATGCTCAGCAGCAGTTAAATATATATTTTGTTTCCAAAAATTATATTTTATGTTAAGCCATCAAAGCCTTATGATGCAAATGAAAGAACTTTTAAAATAAACTTATACTATTTAAAGAAATCTGTTATAGCTACTTGAAAAATTGATCAACTTGCCTAGTATTCCTCATTCAACATAGCATACAAGCTTGCTAGGAAACATGCATTTGTTTCAGTTTGCAGATTTCAGTGCCCGTTTAAGCATCTTGCCAAATCAAGACCTCAGAGGCTAGACACAGTGGCTACCACTTCATCGGCTGTCGTATTTACTTTACATTTATAAAAATATCCAGCACGATAGGTTTTTTGGTAGAGGTAGCCCACAGCAGATAGCTGACTTGACTTCCTAGCTATCCAGGACCCAACTCTAGCCTTACCAGTTCTGTCTGATTTGAGAATGGCTGCTCTTCATCAGGACATCTTCCTCTCACTGTGGGCTTTCCATCATCAAATCCCATGACAAGTTCTCCGCTGGTGGAAATCAGCCTAGATTCTCTGGAAAACTTGAGGCATTACATGTATATATATTACATTTCAAGCTGAACGGACAAATAGTCTAGTACAGCTTTGGACCAGCAACCCCTTTTCTAGTCCTTTTCCCCTTATATGCGTGTTAAACATTTGTGATGTTGCTGTCTGAACTTCTCGATCTGCAAAAAGAGAAGAATGAAACTTCCAACCTGACAGAAGGATGTGGCTTCTGAAGTGTTCTTAAATGTTCTGAAGACAAAAACTGCGTTATAAAGTTAACTTTATTGCTGGAGCACTCTAAGGCAACCAAGGAGTTCACAAATTGCTATGGGCTTGTCAGTGAGAGTTCTCAGCTGTACAGCTTTCCTGTTGCTCCTAACAGCATCAGCACTGACCAACAGCATACTGTGTGAAGGCTGTGCTTCTGAAGAGGTGTAATGTTTTCCAGCTTCTCCTTCCAATGTAGGAGATAAGTGAGTTGTGATCAATGAGAAGTGGAACATCTCAAAAGGCCTCCTGATCCAATGCCTGCTTATCTAGAAATGTCTACATTCAGTCTACAAAGACTGAATCGCTCTACAGTTATGTTGCTACTTTTTTTTTTTCTGAAACTTAATTCTTTGCGCATGCGTTTGGGACTTTGTTTTGTTTTGTTTTGCCATGGAGTACTGGGTAGTACCTCTAGTTTGAAGTAGTTGAAAAGACACCATCAAACAACATTCATTCTTAAAACAAATAACCTATACAATCAATAAAAATCAACACAGGATAGTACTTCTTGCTGATGTTCCTCTCAATTTTTCACCTGAAACTTAATTCTTTGCGCATGCATTTGGGACTTTGTTTTGTTTTGTTTTGCCATGGAGTACTGGGTAGTACCTCTAGTTTGAAGTAGTTGAAAAGACACCATCAAACAACATTCATTCTTAAAACAAATAACCTATACAATCAATAAAAATCAACACAGGATAGTACTTCTTGCTGATGTTCCTCTCAATTTTTCAGTGTGCTAGGCCCTTCAGCTGTGTTTTCTGCTGTTCGGCTGTTTTCTTTATTAGAGTCAATTAGATGTCTACATCACATACACATAAGGCTCCATATATCAATCTGAAAATGTTAGAATTTAAAGTGCAAGACTAATACATGTTTTTGTTCTAAACTGGAGGGCATACTGTCTGCTTTCAATAAAAGAGCAGATGTCAATACTGCAACAAAACCAGCCTCTAAATTTTGAGAAGCAAAAGTTTATTTGGTTAGTTGCCTTTATATACAAAGTTGAATAACTTAGGAAAAAACCAAGTGTTTCTAGGAATGAGGTTTTTTTCCATTTTGGCTCACACAGCATCACACTGCCTCAGCAGGGTGCACACACCACTTAAAAATTAAGCCGATTTTCTCTCTTTATTGAAAATGCACAGAACAACTAACAATACGCCAGGTTCCTACCTTAACAGACTGATGAAATGTGGTAACGGTTTTCTGTGTTGGAAATCATGTTTTTAGTCAGAGGACAGACAGCTATAAACAACAGTTTATATTATTTTAGTTAAATTATGAAATATAGAAGAGCAGACAAAAATGTCCAATGGGTTCATGCAGCAAAAATCGAGGACAAGTTTGTTTCTGTATGAGTTCTTTTGTCTTCTCAGTTCTGCATGAAATGTATCGGGCAGTGTGTCCAAACTTGAAGCCTACTGATCATAAAAATCACCGTGGTAGCTGGGGTGGTGAGGGTGGGGAGCCGTGCATTACTTTAAAATTAGTGTTCTTGAGATCTTTTCTGTCAGTTAAAATTTACCAGACACTCCAACTCAAGTGTAGGAAGGTAAGATAAATAATAATTAGCAGTCTATCTCTGTAGAAGCACCATCTGTGCCGTGCCAGCAATCACAGCCTGTTAGAAGAAGCAGTTCATTAGCTGCTTTGCGCTTGGTGCAGCATCGGCACTGTTTGATAACGAATGCACCCCCTTTGTTTAGCAATCATGATTCATTGTATTTGTAATTTCGCGATCACAGTGGTTTTAGCCCTGCTAATTCATGTTGCAGCTGCATTTCTAGATTATGCAGAGACCGTAGTTCCCAAATACAAACTACCACACTCAACCCTTTTCAGTTTCTTAGGTAGGGTAGGTTATCATCCATAAGGGAACTTGAGTAAAAGGAATTTTCAAGCAGTAAAGACAATGGGCATGTAAATTAATTCATGTAAGAAAAAAAAAAAAGTCCTGTTTCCAAAATGTTCCTGAGTTTATTTATATACCTGCTAATAATTTTTCCTTTTATCTCTGCAAACTTCGATCCCCCAACCAATTGCAACCTACACAAAGGGGTATATACATCAGAGATTATTATTGGAACAGTAGTGATTTAAATTATTCTTCCTGTTTTAGAGAGTCAGCAATTGGACCAGACTGCCCAGGGCTCTTTAGCTTCTCTGTATTTTGAAGAGGTAAAACTAAGTCCTTTACCACTTACAGCTCTTAAAAATACCAAAGAGAACAACCTGTTGATACCCACAACAAATGACCAAATTCCACTGTGGGTAATTTAATTCATTTTGCATTACCTTTGATGGAAAGCCTGAACCATCTCTGTTGGCCAAAAGGTTCACACAGTACTGCAGATGTTCAGTTCCACCCTGGAGAAAGCTTAATTTCAGAAGCAAATGAATGATCTTAATATACTTCTGTGTAAATAGTTATAAAATGAATGTTATTTTAATTCCTGGAAAATTAAACTGGTGGCGTTGCTCAAGGTATGTGCCAATAGTAGTGGATGGTGAAATATATCAGGCTATAAAACGTTCGGGCTAATTTCAGCTCTAGTATAAAAAATTGCTATTAGGTCAAACTGTGGTCCAAAGCCCTGAGCTGACAAAGCATACAGGTAGGTGCTTGACTGGAAGAACAGTTCTTGTCTGTAAAATTAAGGATGTGTTTTAGTGCTTTACTTCTAGGGGCCTGCATTTTTTTGGCTATTGTTATGAAGTAAAGAGCAGTAAATAAACGGAAATGAGTGAATTTTTCTCGTTGCTGGTCCTTAGAACATTTTTTTTTATTTCTACATAACAAACTGCTTGTTGCATTAATGAACAGGTGAGTCTTAGGCAGTAAGTTTTATAGATTCAGAAAATGTATTGGATCATAGCCACTGTTCTTTGCTTTTGCTTTAAGCTGCTCATTGATTGGCAAGAAATAGCAACTTGTAATAAAGACATTTCCCAGGCTAAAAATTAACCTTGTAGGAAAACAGTTGGTCCATTATCTTGAGTGCCTCTTTTCTAAACTAAGTGTATATATAAGAGAACCATTTTCAAAGAGTACATTAGATTCTAGATACTGCTTCAGTTCATAACTGAAGCTATGAATATTAATTCCCTGACCTGAAAATCCGCCCTTCATGTTTTGGAGGAGAAAAACGCCCTTTTATTTTTCACTGAAACCTTAAGAAAATGAAAGATGGGTGACATCAGCAATAGGTAGTCACCATGCTGCCAGACGACTGCGACTCCTGTTTTGTGGCCTTCACCTGAACCTTATCCCATCTTTACATCCTCTTGCAGTACCGAGCTCTATCTTCCTAGTCAAACAGAGCTTTTGGAGGGCAATAGCAGGAGACCTGATACTAAGAGCTATTTGTAGTCAGTGTCTTCATTTCATTCCTTACAACCTCTAGTCATGTGATTTTTGTTTTTTCCTTTTCATATTTACTGGATAATATTAAAGCATGTATCGATTTTTGGCTGTCCAAGTGTAATCAAAAGGCTTACCGAGCCCACCCCTGACTTAGAGAATAAAGAAGTATATGCCATTCTGTGCACTGTAGAATGACAGGCCCTTTTGGAATCCGTGGATAAACTACAGTGAATAGATAGAAGCCAGTGCAAAGCAAGTTTAAAACTGCTACTGTATATGAAAACTAGCATTGTTCTTTTCCTTTTACTTTTATATCCTCTTTTGAGTTTTTCCAAGCTATTTATTTGTTGTTAACCTCATCATATCAGAGGTGTTAGGTGATGTATATTCTCTTTAGATATTCTAAACTGCCAGAAAATTTTATAAAGGGAAAAAGAGCTGATATGACAGATTGGGATTTTCATCCTGTGAATAAAATGACAAGAAAGAAATTTAATGTTCTTTTGTTAGCATTTACTACTTATTAATACAGTGTAAATTGCACTTTCAGAATTTTTTCACTGGTAATATTTTAGAAAACTGAGATTATGAGCTCAGTCTCTGTCTTTTACAGGGACCTCCTGGAGCAACGGGTGCTGAAGGCAGACAAGGTGAAAAAGGTGCAAAGGTAATACATTCAAGATTTTTTTTCAGGAGCATGGAAATGTAAACTATATATAAATAAAAAGTAAATTGCTTATCATGCACTGAGTGTGAAACTTATCAAAGTAATAATAGGTAAACCGTAAAATCCAAATTAAGACCCAGAATTGGTAGCGATATATAATGGAGTACATGGTGGATTCTCACCAGTGCAGGCCCAACTTGGCTCACCCCTGCGGAAAAGCAAGATGAGCATGCTTTGCCGGCACTGCATCTTCATATGAAGCTATCAAAATTTTGTTCAGAAAACTGTCCTGTGCAGAACACTGTTTTAGAACAGCTTTTAAAAAATGGAGTGAGGAGACTTTGCTCTCGCTTTGCAGCTTGTCTATCCCTACGGTGCCAAGCTTTGTCAGCTCTTCCTCTCTGACCTGTTGCTTATGTTCTTTCTAGGGTGAACCTGGTGCAGAAGGGGCTCCTGGAAAAACAGGTCCAGTTGGTCCACAGGGACCTGCAGGAAAACCTGGCCCAGAGGGTCTCCGGGGCATTCCTGGCCCTGTGGTGAGTAAGCGGAGCATGTAATAATATTTTAAATATTGCATTTCTTGTATATCCTCTGGTAAAGCAAACTTTGTTTTTTCTAGGGAGAACAAGGTCTACCTGGAGCGCCAGGTCAGGATGGCCCTCCTGGGCCTCTGGTGAGTACCCTTTCTTTCAGTGCCAAAACAGAAAAAGCACCCTTTAAAATATCCCATTAACGTGTTTGTGCATTTACAGAAAAATGAACATACAAGTCAGTTCTTAGCACAAAGTCACTATTTTTCTGTGCTGGTAAAATCTGATACACAACTGCCATCATTTTACTGCTCTACTTTAGTAGGCAGCTGTGCTGAATGCTGCTGATTTATACCAGGTAAAAAGTGGAATAAGGCAGTGTAAAACCAAATTCTTGAAATCCCCTGAATAGCATTAAAAATAAAAATAAAATGAATGAAGCTTACAATCAAAAAATCTACTTCTGTCCCCACATCAGCAAAGCTTAATACCTTAAATCATTTTGTTTCCTTAGCAGTGGTAAATTTTGTACATCTATTGATTTTAATGACTGCTAGTTTAGGAAAACATTATTCGTAGGGTAGAAGTTTAGATCATATCTATTCCTTAGAGAAAGAAAAAATTAAATCAGAAGTAGGGCCAAAAGGGGACTTCTAGTAAAGAAGAAAACACGCTAGTTTTATAAAAATGAACAGCAGCATCATGTCTGTTGTTCGTTGTGGCAGGGGGCCGAAATATAATCCATGACCGAAGTGTTTAAAAGGGTCTGAATGAACCAGGCTCCCAGTTTCTAGGGCATCTAGGGCATAGCACAGTTCTGCTCTGTGTTAATAATATGATTAAAGCAAGGGAAGCTTATAGATGACATATTATCAAATTATATCATTGCTTCTATTTACACTTGCTATTTTAGTGTATCTTTTCTAACAAGCTGAAAAACCAACACTGTGAGCACAAATTGCACAATATTGGTGTTCTTATTCAGCATTATGTGCAGAAATTCAAATCTAAACTATATGGCCAGCAGGTTAATTCTTCACATGTCAAGCAAAGGTGATCCAATTTAGTGGAAAGATCTCATATCCCTTGCTCTCCAAACTCACTGAAGTAGAGTTCACCTCTGTCATCGCAGTTGAGTGACACATTGGGAATGAAAAGCTTCGAAACAAAACATGGACTGTTACAGTTTGGTGGAAAAAAATAAACAAGCGTTACACTTTCAAGGCAGTTTACAGTTTGCAAGCAGTGTTACCACATCCTAAGTAAAATCCACTCCGTTATTTTGGCCAGGTTAACTATGCCAACATATACAATCAGATTACTTTAAGAGAATAGGGCAATAAGGAGCATTCGTCTACTTCAGAAATGATGTGGTTCTTAAAGGGGAAAAGGAAGGCTGTGAGTAGGAAGTGTGAAGGAAATCCTCTGTTCCTTTGGATTTAGAGGATACAAAGGATACAGGTCCTTGGGTAGCCTTAATAATGAAAGGTTTTGCGCTTAAGCTATATATGTGAACTCAAAATCTTTCCAAAGAGCATTCCTGCCTCCCCAGTGAGAACTCAGGGTCTGAACATCAGCTATAAAATTTCCATATCAGACTTTTCCAGTATATAAAAATGAAAGTGGAAAAAATGGGGAATTTAAACTGAAATGCTGCATAAATGAAGACATTTACCCTAAACGAATCTTTCACGTTCATGTGCCCCTGTGAACGTGAGCAATTGCCTTTTCTTTCATTGAGTGAAAATGCTTTAATGGGTGAAAGTATTTGGGTAACTATTTACATTTCCAAAAATGTTCCAAACACGCAATTTCTTAACCTGTGTATGTAATTATAGATGCTATTACAATGGCACCTACATATAATTTCATTTTTCTCTGTTTCTTAGAAAACAGTAGTGAGCAAATAATGTGCTGAGGGAAGCTTACACTATAGCTCTTTGCTGCCCTTCATTTTAACATTGTAATTTTGTCTAAAGTCTCATGGATAACATACTGCTTATAAGTCAGAGGTTGGGAACAATGAATGAGAAGCTGCAAGGGAAAGGACTCCCCTGTGCTAAACCATAATAATTATGCTAAACCCATAACAAAAAAACTCTTCTCTCCAAAAAGTTTATGATGAGGCCACCACCATAGTTTCTAAATGATGTGCCCCATCACATTTATTTACAAATAAAATGCATGGGGGACAAATCAGGGATTAAATGATGTGCCCCATCACAAATCAGGGAACGGAAAACTGATCTCCTCAGTTACAATTCTGTCCCAAAATCTAAAAGCCAGTGAACAATTATTCAGCAGTAATAAACATCCCTTTCCCACATGTCAGTCACCAGAAGCCTCCAAATACATCATCAGAAGAGCTCTCTTCCAACATTTGAGCACTTAAATATTCAATTCAAATCTGAAGCTGAGTGTATTAATGAACCATATACTCCCAAATGCACAGGCTTCCTGTCAGCTCAACAAGAACTTTTCTGAGATGCATTGCTGCAACTTAAACTTTATTTTGGATTTTGAGAAAGTGAAGTTTATATGTAAAAGTTGCTGAGGTTAAGTCTCCCTCCTTCCCCTCCCTCCCTCTGCAGTAGATTGCTATCAGGAGGAGAATATGAAAGCAGATTTGCAGTAGAGCACAACACACTGCAGGTGAAAATGTCTGATTCTGTATTCCAAAAGCTTAAAAATTACACTTTCCATTCATGAATTATGTATTTGCCTAGGCTTTTGCATCTAATGATATCCTGAAGTAGAGATGGAAAGGATACGCACAGAATAATATTTTATATGTGAAGTGTTATGGCACTTTTGAATCTGTGCCAGGTTGAAAAGGTCGCTTATTACTGCTAGCCATATCATAACTTCACAGATGTCCACTGCCAGCAGGAGACTAGTAGTGATGAGATACTGACTTGGTCTAGCAGCTCTCCCCCAGTGCATGCATGTTCAGTGTGAGATTAATAGCCTCCGAGAAGTGAATGCCTTTTCTGTGCTTGCATATGCACTGCATGGCCTGAATTTTTCACCTCATTCTGTACAAATTGCACAAAACCAGCACTGCCATTCTTATGAACCTCAGAAGATTTCTCAAATCCCTCAAAATTCTTCTAAAATTATAAATCAGGATTAAAATAATTAAAAAAAAAAAAGCTGGAGAAAAAACAAACCAAGGAGATTTTGACAAGCTTTTTCTGCGCCATCTATGCAGCTGTATTTTTGACTATTGGTAGAACAGTGTCTTTAATGGATTGCTCTTATGACCCCAGTAAAGATAAAAAAAGCACCGTCAGGGAAAAGAAGCTTGTGTCAAGTTATAACAAGATTATTCAGTGGTTTTTGCAAGGGATGTGCAGAAAGTGAGACCTATCCATGCGAATGTGTTTATCCTTCGCAATAGTTTCCCAGGTAGCAAGACTGCAGTGGAGTTTTCCGACAGATTCTCTAAGCTTCAGCTTACTTTGGAACCACCTGAAAAAAAATGAGTGTTTTGGGTTGTGCCCTCCCCGCACCCACCCCAAAAATATGGAAGGGCCTGTAGAATGGTTCTGTTGACCCTATATTGGTTGCTCACAGCTCTGTCTCCTGCCCCAGCATATTTCTGTTTACAGAAATCTAGCTGCATGGAGTAATGTTTAGGGACAACTGCAAATAAAACAATAAAGAGGATTTCTTCCTCAGTTTTGTGAAGTAACATATGTCTTTACTGTGCTGCAGAAAGGATGGCTTGTAAATACAAATTAAAAATTGTAAGCTGCTTATACGATGTGAACCATGCAAGTACCTAGCAAGGTATCAGTTTAACACCTCTGTAAAGTAAGGGTATTATCCCTATCCAACAAATGAGGAGTGGAGGCCCAAAGAGACTGAGGCAGTTCCTAAAAGCATTTAGGATTGCCCAGACCAGTATTGCAAAACCTAAGTAATTTGTGTAACTAATCACACTTACAAAAGTGACGAAAGACCACAAGCTTGTACATGTCGGTGGAGCTAGCACACCTAGATCACATTAAGTAAGCTTGCAATGTTGAGTAGAAAAGACTTGAACATTTAGAAAATACAGATTTAAATGCATTATTCATGGTCATACGGGAATTTCAGGTGGCAAGTCAAGGAAACCATAATCCCAAGATAACACCCTGAGTGCTGAAACAAAATATGAGGTAGTTCTCCAACAAAACAACATTGAGGAGCAGTTATTATAAGCAACCTGATTTATATTCTGTAGAAATCTTACTGAGCTGTAGTAAACTGGGAGAAAACAAGTAAGAGGATACCTTCCACCGTCTTATGAAAGAAAGGGCTAAACTAAGCAACTGAAATAAGGTACAGCAATTAAGGTGGAAGTAATAATTGAAAGCATGTAATGTAACCACAATCAAAATTAGGCTTAGGCTAATCAACAAAAAATTATTTGAATATTTTTTTAAATATCACTTGCTTCACTGGATGCTTTCAGTGCTCTTTAAGAATTTAGTTGACCCTCTGCTTCATAGGTTTCTAATCATACAAACCTTTATAGATTTCTAATTATAAAGTAATTTAAATGCTACAGTAGCATCATGATGCCTTTTTAAACATACATTTCATCTTGGGCCCTAAATCACATGCCATCAATCACAACCATCAACCACTGAATGACTCTGCACTTTGACTTACACTGCCTTTAATAATATTTCAAGAAAACATGATCTGTGCAGCATGTTAAAACTTATTTTAACATTACTTCCCTTGATTTGTTCAGGGTCCACCTGGCTTGCCTGGCCTGAAAGGAGACCCAGGTTCCAAAGGAGAGAAGGTATACTTTATTCATTGTTTGTGCCTTTGTAATTTTGATCCAGTCTAAAAGTCTGTATAAAATTAGCAGAAAGAAATACTAGGGTGTCTGTATCAGAAAGCAAGACAGTTTGCCACGTCTATCAATCAGCTTCCCATAGCCTTAACAGTAATCATGAAGTTTTAAGCCACATCTGATACCCTGGAGATACACAGAAAGAAAAAGATTGCTGCCTGTGTGGTAATCTATCGACCACACGATTCTTCCTTGCAATGAAAATCCCAAAGACATTGATGTAAAGAGAACTGTTGGTTTTACAAAAACAAAGTAAGTAGAAATAAAAAGTATTCGAGATTTTTATTTTAAAACAACAAAATGTAAATATTTAACAGCTGTAGTACTTTCTTTTTAACTAATGGATTGAGACATCTGGGATAGCATTTTCTAATGGAGTCCCAGCAATTGCTTGCTTGTGTATCAGAGAAAACTGTATAGAGAAGGGGAAATGAATATGATTATATTATGTGAATTTCAGGTTCTGTTTATGTGCTTGGATCAGCTGTTTATACGGCTATATTACATGTGGGAAAAAATGTGCAACTCTATAATAAGATTATAGCATCTAAATGTGAAAGTTGGTATGAAATTTGTACCCACAGGTATTGTTATTCCTGTATCAGTTTCAGTAAGGACTGTGTTGCACTTAGGTCTCTTTCACTGAATAAGCGGTCACAGCTTGCAAATAATCTCCAAGTCTAAATGCCAACTAACAACAATGAATATGCTTTCAGAATAATTTGTTTTCAGGTTATTTGTTGTCTAGCAACAGTGATGACATTTGAAAGCTCTAATTTCATAGAACCATAGAATAGTTTGGGTTGGAAGGGACCTCTAAAGGTCATCTAGTCCAACCCCCCTGC